CAGCTGGGGCCCTGTCACCCATGAGGGAGTTCCAGATTGAGATCCTAGCAAGCTAATCCTTCTTCCCTTACACACACACACACACACACACACACACACACACACACACACACCCCTAAAGGGCATTTTCTGAAATGACCTGTACTTAGAGAGATATCTAAATAGCAATGTTGGGGTTGCATCATGGCATAGTGAGTAAAGCTGCTGATTGTGCTCATGGACCCAAATGGTCACAATGGTCACAGCTGAAGTGATCTGAAACCAGAGACCAGGAGATTCTTCTGGGTCTCCCCAGTGCATGCAGATGTCCAAGGGCCTGGGCTGTCCTCCATTGCTTTCCCAGGCCATAAGCAGAGAGCTGGGTTGGAAGTGGAGCAGCCTGAACTAGAGCCAGTGCCTATATGGGATCCTGGTATTTGCAGGTGGAGGATTAGTATACTATGCTACCACACCAGCCTGCCCCAGAGGATCAATTTAAATAACCAAAAGAGATGGCCATGGTGGCCCAAGGACAGTATCTAGTCTTCCTTTTGGATTGCCCACAACTGCCCTGGTTTTTGCACTAAAGACAGCCCAGGGCCCCCACCCTGGGAAGGGCCTGTAGTCCCACACTGCCACCCTCTGCATGATGTTCCACAGTCACTCTGAGTTTGGACTGCGTTTATTCTTTCAACAAGCTCCCACCATCAACCCTACTCTTTCGTGGGGTTTATTCTTTGTCTTAAAGTAATATTACATTCAGCTTCATAGTTTAAAATTTTTAAACTAAGAAAAGCAGTAAAACGGGCCCAGTGCAATGGCTCAGTGGCTAATCCTCTGCCTTGCAGGTACCAATACCCCATATGGGCACCGGTTCATGTCCCAGCGGCTCCACTTCACATCCAGTTCCCTGTTTGTGGTCTGGGAAAGCAGTAGAGGATGGCCCAACATCTTGGGACCCTGCACCCACATGGGAGACCCAGAAGATGCTCCTGGTTCTGGATCAGCTTAGTTCTAGCTGTTGCAGCCACTTGGGGAGTGAAACAACAGCAGATGGAAGATCTTTCTGTCTGTCCCTCCTTCTCTCTGTAAATCTACCTTTCTGATAGAAATAAATAAATCTTTTAAAAAAATAAAGGTAGAAAAAAAAAAGGCAGGGAAAATAAAATCATAAAACAGCCTGGCTCATTTCCTGCCAGTGTTTTTCCTACATGTTTCCCATCAGTATCCTTAAAGAAGTGCAAGTCCATTTTCACTTTGGCTGCTCACCAAGAACACAAAGGTTTAGTGTAGTGGATTAAAATTTCAAGCCAAAATTATGGGATCAGAGGAGGACGGGCTACCTCCGAGGGGTCAGGCCTGGTTTTTTTCTGCTAGCAGGTGTAATCCCAGGCCCAGGCTGGCACCAGGCAGGTGGGGATGGCATGCCCTCTCCCAGCTACACTTCCCACTTCACAGAGTGTTTCTGGCCACACGTGAAAGTGCTGTGCCCACTCGAGAGCAAAAACCAAGTTAAAGAGAGGCGAAAAGCCAAGCCAGGCCTCAACCCTCCCCATCTACGCTCCCGACTCACTCCTACCACCTGGAGGCCACCCCCTTTAGTAGTTTTAGTTTTTTCTGGAAGCTGTTTCCAAAATCCAGGCTAAAATGCTCACCCTCCATTTCTTGCTATGTCCATTGGAATGGACAGAACTTTCTAGTATGAAACATGATAAGAGAGATGCTGGTCGAGACACCTGCTCCTCCTAGCAGAGTCCCGAGTTGCAGTTCAGCTCAGTCCCTGGTTCCAGTTCCCAAGCTCATGTGTAGCCCTGATGGCAGAGGTGATGGTGTAAGTTGTTGGGTTTCTGACACCCACATGAGAAACAGGGACCGAGTCCTCGGCTGTGGGCATCTGGGGAGTGATCCAGTGGATGGGAAATCTCTCTGTCCTGCTACTCTCTCCTTGCCTCTTTCTGCTCTCAAAATGAAGTCTTTAAAATGAGATTCTTGGGGCTAGTGCTATGGTGTCTTAGGCTAATTCTCCGAAACTTTGAGTGCCAGCATTCCATGAGCTCCAGTTCATGTCCTGGCTGATCTGCTTCCCATCCAGCTCCCTGCTTTTGCCCTGGAAAATCAGAAGAGGATGGTCCGAAGCCTTAGGACCCTGCACTCATATGGCCGACCCTGAAAGAGGCTCCTGGTTTCAGATCAGCTCAGTTCTAGTCATCGGGGTCATCTGAGGAGTGAACCAGCAGATGGAAGATCTTTCTGCATCTATCCTCTCTCTCTGTAACTCTGCCTTCCCAATTAAAAATAAATGAATCTTCAAAATAAATAAATAAAATATGATGCTTAATTCAGCCTCCCTGTTTCCTGTTATGAGTACATATTCATTATTTTGGTTATGTAAATAAGCAAAATCCTACCCATTTTGGCAGGTGTCGCGGGGGGAGACAGGTTCACTGGTGACTGGTTGCTTTTACAGGCTGACTTTAAACTTCGAAATTCAAGAAGCAGGAGTCCATTGTATTATGATCTTGTGAACACCGAGGAAGCGCAGGCCAAACAATGGACTAAGGATTACACCAAACCCCACGATCAACCCAGAAGGCTGTGTCCAGTCCGCAGGTCCTGAATGGACGCTGCAGCGATGTAATATCACCTTGTCCCTGCTTTTCCTTTTAATCACTCCCATGGGAGTTTTTGCAACCCTGTTGAGTCTGAGAACTATTCCGTGCTCCCGGGGTGTTCCTCCTCGGGACAGCATGTACTCTGCAGTGTGGGATTTCCTGCGAGATTCTAGCCGCTGCTGCTTCTTTCTCTCTTCACCTGTTTTCAAGCATTGTGGGAGGAACGTGGTTGGTCTTTTTCAAAACTCTTGCGAGATATCATCTCTGTTAATGAGCTAGAAGTGATAAGACATATATATATACACATACATACATATAGATATGTGTATATGGAAAGTTTCTATATACCAGAAAATGTGGATGTCAATCGGAAAGAAAATGAAACGAAAAGCAGCGGATTCTAACTGAGCAGGTCAGACAGCAGGTCCGAACAGCTGTGGGGCCGGCGTGGGAGAATTAACAGATTTCAACACAAGAGGTCTTTGAGTTGAATAAATGGTGTGAGAGAATTTGAAAAATATAAAAATAGAAATAAATTAAAAACCTGATGTCTTGGTCCATTTTTGTTAACCTAACACTACAGGGGCCACAGAGAGGGAGGTCTTTCATCAGCTGGTTCTTTCCCCGGATGGCTGCAACTACCGGGGCTGGGCCAGGCTGCAGCCAAGACCTTCTTCTGGGTCTCCCATGTGGATGCGTGGGTCCAAGCACCTGGGCCACCTTCTGATACTTTCCCAGTTACTTTTTCTTGCCTACCCAGGGTCCTTTGGAATGTCATAATCAGGCTTCTTGCCCCTCCCTCATTGTTGCATTTCTGTCTTAAGAGGCGGGGAGCACTGAGCATCCACTGCAGGTTGACTTGTTCTTCAGAAGCTGCTGCTGGCAGGCTGGACTTGCTGCCCTCAGAGGGGCTCAGCCCGACACGCCCCAGTGAACCCGTCAGAGCCGCAGGACGCCGGCTGGGGGCCGGACTTCTAAAGCAATGGGTGAAGGCGTGTGCTGCTTGAGCAAAAAGGGCCCTCCCATGCGCCCTTTGCTACATCCTGGTCCATTGTCGACCCTCTGTGACTGCACACCTCAAACCAATTGGACCCAATGTGCCCACTGACATGAGGGTACTTCAGAACTTGGTGGAAAATGGAATGAAAAGATGTTCACTTTAGTGAAATAAATAGATAAAAAGGGCTGGTGGGCTCGGCATGATAGTGTAATGGTTAAGGTCCTCGCCTTGCATGCTCAGGATCCCATATGGTCACCGGTTCTAATCCCAGCAGCTCCACTTCCCATCCAGCTCCCTGCTTGTGGCCTAGGAAAGCAGTGGAGGACAGCCCAAGACCTCGGCACCCTGCACCCACGTGAGAGACCTGGAAGAGCTCTTGGCTCCTGGCTTTGGGTTGGCTCAGCTTCAGCTGTTGTGGTCACTTGGGGAATGAATCATTGGACGGGGGATCTTCCTCTCTGTCTCTCCTCTCTGTCTATCCATCTTCCAATAAAAATAAAATAAGTCTTAAAAAAAAAAAAAGGGCTGGAAAGGTGATGCAGTAGATTAAGCCTCTGCCTAAGTTGTTGGCATGCCACATGAGCAGTTGTTTGAAATCCCAGCTGCTCCACTTCTGGTCCAGCTCCCTGCTGACGTGCCTGGGAAAGCAATCCAAAAGAAAGTATTTAGGTCCTGACTCTCAAATAAGAGACTAGGATGGAGTTTCAGCCTTCTGATTTAGGCCTGGCCATTTGGGAAGTAAACCAGCAGATGGAATATCTCTCTCTCTCTCTCTTTCTCCACAATTTTGAACTTGCAAATAAATCTTTTTTTTTTTTTTTTAAGGAACCCCATGCATAATTGTCTCATGAGGTGCATTTTCTGTGAGCTTTCTGAAGATCCCCTAATGCAAGGCCGTCAGAATGTCTAATTTTATTTTCCACAGATTTCTGGAATTCCAGTGCATTAGCCAAAGTGGTGACCGGGTACCCAGAGAAGTAAATTCTGGAACCGCAGACTTGCTATCTAGTAAGCCGCAGGCTGCAGGCATTTAAATGCCCAGCACTGGCTGGAAGAAGGAACAGCACGACCGAGGTTCATCCATTTTCTCCAGGTCTTTGCCAGGTGCTACCTGGAAGATGCAGATACGTCCAGAGGCTGGGTGCTCGGGGAGGCCATGGCAGCATCATCCAGGTTCGGTGGAGCCCTGGCTCCGGCCCGGTCCGGCCCGCTTGGCGCCTTCGGCCCGGTGCTCCCGCTGGCCCCACCGGGCACCCGAGGCTCCGCAGCCCGCCCAGCGGCGTAGCACCCCGGCTCGAGGCGAATTCCACAAACAGTGTCCGGCTTCCTGTCCTCTTCCCCCTCCCGCGCCGCTTCCCTCGCCCCTCCCTCTCGGCCGCCCGATCCGCCCGCCCGCTTCCCCCCTCCCAGCTCCCTCGGGTCCCGGGATGGGGGGGCGGTGAGGCAGGCACAGCCCTCCGCCCCCATGGCCACCCGTCGGAGCCAGAGGCGGAGGGGGCGCAGGGGGGAGCTGGGCACCGCCCTGCTGGCCCCACTCGTGCTGGGCCTGGGCCTGGCTCTGGCCTGCCTTGGCCTCCTGCTGGCCGTGGTCAGCCTGGGGAGCCGGGCATCGTTAACTGGCCAGGTGAGGCCCCCCGACCGCTGCACAACCCTCCCTCTGGGTACCCTGAGACTACGGAGGTGCCCATCGGGCGGGCTGAGGGCCAGGGGACCCTGGAGGTCGGAGGTCGGGTGGAGGGCGAGGTGGCAGGTGGAGAAATACAAGGACGGGGGTGACGCTGCCTCCTTCCCAGCAGGAGCCTTCCCAGGGGGAGCTGGTGGCCAAGGAGGAGCTGGAGCCCCTGGTGAGTGTCTGTGGGCGCGGGGAGGGGGTGGGTGCCGAGGCGGCCGCTGGGGGGTGGTGTGCGAGGTTTGCACCAGCTGTGTGCGCGCGCCGGTGAATGCAGCATGCATGTGCAGGGTCCGGGTGTGGTGCATGTGAGGGAGGGAGCCGGGGATGTCTGGAAGAAGCTGGTGCCAGGGTTGTGCCACTTGTGCACCGAGTGTTTATTGGCTGTTGGGAGTTAGAGTGGGAGGCGTGTGAGCGGAGCGTGCCCTGGAGGAGGGGGTGCTGTGGGGGCGGCACAGGAAGGGGCGCTCGCGCTGTCAGATGTGTGCTGGTTGGCAGGTGGGTGGAGAAGGTGTGGCTGGCTTCACTAGAGGTTAGGACCGGAAATCTGAGCTCCCACCCCTCTTAACCGCTCCCCAGCCCCATCAGATACCTAAAACTTCCCTGCCTGGGGCTGACTCCCCGGGAGAGGCCCTGGTGGTGCCAAGTTCTGTCTTGGAGAAGCCCTGGCTGAGCCCGTTCTAATTCCCTTAGGAGCTGAATCTGCAGGCAGAAGAAAGCCAGGGTCCCGTGCCTTTCCTTAAAGGCTTGGCTCGGCCTCGCCGAAGTGGTAAGTGTGGGGATAGTCCAGTCTGGCTGGGGCAAGGTGGTTCCTGGATTCACCCTCACTGCCCCGTTCAGCCAGCAGAGCCAAATCCACCTCCCTCATGGAGAAATTGAAGCACTCAGAGTGGAAGCAAGGGCATGCAACAAAGCAGTCCGGAATGTAGGAACTCTTTATCATCATCTTTATTATTATTATTTAAGCATTATTTATTTTCACTTGTTTTAAAGACAGAGGGAGAAAGAGATGCAGACAGAGCTCTCATTCTGATCCCCAAATGCCTGCTGGGGCCATGCTGCAGCTGGGAGCCTGGAACTCCATCTGGGCCTCCCATGTAGGTGGCAGGGCCCCAGCCACCTGAGCCATCACCTGCTGTCCCCTCCAGGGTGCATGTATGGGCAGGTGGTTGGAACTGAAAGCAGAGATGGACCTGAACCCACTTACTGCAATCTGGGATGTAGGTGAAGCAGACGGGTGGCTGAGCCTAGAAATTCTGATTCCGGTGCCAGGCCGTGCAAGCAAACAGGTGCAGGATGAGGCATCATGTGATGGCTGTATCCAGCTCTGCGTGGGATGACCCTGACTTATCCCTGTCTTCTCAGCACCCCTTTGCTCCCATGGGTGCTGAGTTAAGTCCCTTTCCTTGGGGAGGAAGATTCCGAAGCCGGAGTCTTCTGCATGAAGATGAGGAAACCACATCTGGGTGGGGAATTGGGAAGCAGACCCCAGAATGGTTGGCCTCACTACCCTCTCCTTCCTTGATTCCAGCAACCAAAGGCCGGAGACCACGGGTTCGCAGGGCGATTGCCGCCCACTATGAAGGTGGGTGACGGGTGAGCCCTGCGGGAGGGCTGCAGGTGTAGGCAGGAGCCAGCCAGGCCTCACGGACCCTTTCCCGTGTCTTACAGTTCACCCACGGCCAGGACAGGACGGGGCACGGGCAGGTGAGACCCCATGCCCTGCTCCGAGCTCTCCCCTGACCGCTCCCGCAGCACCAGCTTCCCTGGGAAAGCAGCCCTTCAGAGCCTGGGACGTCCCATTCGCTCCTGCTTTCGTTTCTGGCACCCCCCGCCCCCCCAAGCAGTTGGTTCAGGCAAAGCTCAGAGCTTGGTTCTCTCTGTGACCCAGGAAGCCTGCCAGGATCTAGGTCTCAGATCCCAGACGAGTTCTCCCTCTCCCTCTAACACACCCTCCTCTGCTTCTCTAAGAAACACTTAAGAGTCTCTGCTTTCCCTCCAGAGTCCATGAACCCTTGGGACCCCATCAGCTTTCCTCCAAATGCTTTCAGCCTCTGCCCCTGCCCTATCCCGCCCTCTCCCCATTCACCCCTCACTGCCAGCCTCTGTCCTTAACCCACTGCTGTCCTCCATCTGTCCCTCAGCCCGTCCCTGCCCATCCTGAATGCCCTTGGCTCCCCATCTGTGGGGTAGTCCTCCTCTTGCCCTTGCTACGGCCCTCTGGTGCCTCTTGTGGACTCAACGCTTACACTGTCCCCTTTCATTTTGGGTGCCACTCTCACCTGGACTGACTTTCCTTTGGGGATAGGCCTGGAGGCAAGAGCTCAGAGCGGCTCAGACCAGGGCACTGCTGATGGAAATGGAGATAGGCGGCTAGATTCAGCAGGTTGGAAAGGGTAGAAATATTTTCTGTTGGGCTATTTACTGATAATAAACAAGTGGGAAATGATGACAAAGTGAAATCCACAACAGGTGGCTGATATAGGGGACTAGCTCAAAAGCAGGTCAGGATGGGTGAAGTCAGGGTCAGGGCCCCAGGGCTGGTGTCCAGAGTGTGAGACTGCAGAGAAACAAGGGCCTTGTCAACCAAGTTCCCCAGCTCTGGGACAAAGGGGAGAGAGCCAGCCTGGGGGGGAGAGAGCCAGCCTGGGGGGGAGAGAGCCAGCCTGGGGGGAGAGAGCCAGCCTGGGGGGAGAGAGCCAGCCTGGGGGAGAGAGCCAGCCTCGGGGGAGAGAGCCAGCCTGGGGGGCAGAGAGCCAGCCTGGGGGGGGGGGAGAGCCAGCCTGGGGGGAGAGAGCCAGCCTCGGGGGAGAGAGCCAGCCTGGGGGACTGACAGGCAGAGAGAGACCCAGGAGGGTGATGCTACGGCATCTAACAGAAAGCATAGGATTTTTTTTTTCTTTTCCTTTCTTTTTTTTAGGATTTATTTATTTATTTTTATTGCAAAGTCAGATCCACAGAGAGGAGGAGAGACAGAGAGGAAGATCTTCCGTCCGATGATTCACTGCCCAAGTGAACTCAACGACTAGTGCTGCTCTGATCTGAGGCCAGGAGCCAGGAGCTCCTCCAGGTCTCCCACATGGGTGCAGGGTCCCAAGGCTTTGGGCCATCCTCCACTGCTTTCCCAGGTCACAAGCAGAGAGTTGGATGGGAAGTGGGTAGCCAGGATATGAACTGGCACTCCAATGGGATCCTGGAGCATGCAAGACAAGGACTTTAGATGCTAGGCTACAGCACCAGGCCCAACTTGGGAGTTTTTTTTTTTTTTTAAGATTTATTTTTATTATTTCTTTATTGGAAAGGCGGATATACAGAGAGGAGAGACAGAGAGGAAGATCTTCCATCCGATGATTCACTCCCCAAGTGAGCGCAACGGCCAATGCTATGTGGATCCGAAGCCAGGAGCTTCTTCCGGGTCTCCCACGCGGGTGCAGGGTCCCAAAGCTTTGGGCTGTCCTTGACTGCTTTCCTGGGCCACAGGCAGGGAGCTGGAAGGGAAGTGGGGCTGCTGGGATAGAACCGGTGCCCATATGGGATCCCGGGCGTGCAAGGCGAGGACCTTAACCACTGCGCCACCGCGCCGGGCCCTCAACTTGGGAGTTTTAACTGATATCTTTCTCACTAGGCTAAACACTTACCCTGACATATTTATTTTGGTGCAAAAATTTTGAAATCCATGCACAGTTCTTTCATAATGTGAATTTTCCATAGATTTTTTTTTTAATAAATTAAAAATGGGGACCTGGTGCAGTAGCCTAGTGGGTAAAGTCCTCGCCTTGTCTGTGCCAAGATCCCATATGGGCTTTGGTTCTAATCCCAGCAGCCAGCTTCCCATTCAGCTCCCTGCTTGTGGCCTGGGAAAGCAGTAGAGGATAGCCCAAAGCCTTGGGACCCTGCACCTGCGCAGGAGACCCAGAAGAGACACTGGGCTCCCGGCTTCAGATGGGCTCAGCTCTAGCCATTGTGATTGCTTGGGGACTGAATTAGCAGATGGAAGATTTCCTCTCTGCTCTCTTCCTCTCTGTATATCTGACTTTCCAATAAAAATAAATAAATCTTTAAAATAATTTAAAACATTTTTAAAAACCTCCCAAGTCATATATCTTTGCTCCTGGACTCACTTCTGTGCTTTGGCTCCTGACTCCAGCGTCCTGCGAATGCAGACAGATCCTGGAAGGCAGAGAGGTGTCTTTCCTCTTTTCTTTTGTAAGTAAAGGAAGATCTTCCATCTGTTGCTTCACTCCCCAAGTCACTACAACGACCAGAGCTGAGTGGATCCCAAGCCAGGAGCCCCGGAGTGCAGGGTCCCAAGGCTTTGGGCCGTCCTCGACTGCTTTCCCAGGCTGCAAGCAGGGAGCTGGTTGGGAAGCAGGGCTGCTGGCATTAGAACCAAAGCCCATATGGGATCCCGGCGTGCCCAGCAAGGACTTTACCCACTAGGCTACCGCGCTGGGCTGATGGGGAGGGAGGTTACTTCTTGGTTGAAAAGCTGACAAGGACAGTGCCTGGGGCTGGTGGAGGAAGGCAGCTGACCCCCAGCCAGAGAGGCGTTGGGAGAATCCGCCGGAGGACAGTTGGCGCTCACAGCTCCCTCGTCTACTTGGTCTTCCCTTGGGGGTTCTCTGAGCACCTGCTGGGACCTGGCCCGTGTGCAGGTGGTGAGCAAGGCAGTGGTCTCTGTCCAATTGTTCGTGGTATTGTTTCGCTTCTTTGCAGTTTGCAATAACTGCGCGCGCGCGCGCGTGTGTGTGTGTGTGTGTGTGTGTGTGTGTGTGTGTGTTTTGGTAATAGTCACATTGAGACATAACTTACAGACCATAAATCATTGAAAGTGTACGGTAGGATGTTTTTAGTATATGAGGGGATTTCAAAAGGCTCATTCAAGATAGAATTAAGAGATGTGCAGGTGCATCTTGGTGCAAAAAGAATTCAATTAGATTTTGTCACAATGCTCATTTTGCATAAACTTTTTAAAGGAAAGATTTGGTTATTTGAAAGGCAGAGTTACAGAGAGAGAAGCACAGGCAGTAAGAGAGCTTCCAACCCCAAGTGGCTGCACAATGAGGGGCGGGCCAAGTCGAAGCAGGATCTACTTCTGGCGTTTCCCACGTGGGTGGCAGATGCTCAAGCACATCATCTCCTGGTTCCTCAGGCACGTTAGCAGGGAGCTGGAGAGAAAGTAGGGCAGCCAGGGCTCCAACTCATGCCTACATGGGATGACAGTGCTGAAGATGACAACTTAACCTGTTGTGCTACAATGCTGCTTCCTTTCCGAAAACCTTTTTAATGTATTTTATTATTATTATTATTATTTTAAGAAATATTTCTTGGGTCTGGTGCAGTAGCCTAGCGGCTAAAGTCCTTGCCTTGCATGCGATAGGATCCTTTATGAGTGCTGGTTCTAAACCCAGCAGCCTTGCTTCCCATCCAGCTCCCTGCTTATGGCCTGGGAAAGCAATTAAGGATGGCCCAAAGATTTGGGACCTTGCAGCCACATAGAAGACCCAGAAAAGGCTCCAGATTCCTGGCTTCAGATCGGCTCAGCTCTGATCACTGCAGCGGCTCAGGGAATGAATCAACACACAAAAAGATCTTTCTGTCTCTCCTCCTCTCTGTATATCTGACTTTTCAATAAAAGCAAATCTCGAAAAAAGGATTTACTTCTTTTTATTGGAAAGGCAGATCAAATTTACAGAGAGAAGGAGAGACAGAGAGATTCCCCCATCTGCTGGTTCATTCCCCAAATGCCTGCAATGGCTGAAGCCGAGCTGAGCAGTGTCACTGGCCACTGTGGTGATTTTAGAACACTTTTCAGCACCTTGAAAATAAACTTTGTGCCCATTACCTCCTACTTCCATCATTTCCAGAGCTCTCATATTGCACCTTCAGTCTCTCTGCACTTGACTGTGGAGCAAAATTTGGCCGTGAAGCCTAATGAAGTACTGATGCATGCTACCTGAGGAACAAGCCTGAGGTCACCGTGCCACGTGAAAAAAAAATTATGTGCATGAGGTCACTTGTATGATCTCAGCCATGGCTGTACAGTCATGCCACATTTTATTAATCCATTCATCAGCCAATAGATACATTTTTTTATAATGTCTTAAATGTATTTGAAAGGCAGAGGGACACGGTGAGAGAGATCTTCCATCCTTGTTCCACTTTCCAAATGCCCCCAGTAACCAGGGCTGAAAACAGGAATCTGGAATTCCATCCCAGTCTCCCACATGAGCTGCAGGGACCCAAGTATTCATCGCCTGTTGCCTCCCAGGGTGCACACCAGCAAGAAGCTAGACTCACAGGTGGAGCTGGGACTCGAACCCAGGCACTTAGATTTGGAATGTCAATCTTCAAAATGGCAACTCAACCATTTTATCAAACACCTGCCATGTATTTTTAACATTTATGATTTAAGTAATGTGTGTGTGTGTTTGTGTGTGTGTGTGTACATTTTCAGCATAAAATGACCAAACACTAGACACAGATGAAGGAAAATAAAAACTGCTTAATTTCTTGTTCAACCCTGTTCTGTCCTCTGTTGACGATTTATTTTGAATCCTTCTGGTTAGTTATGTGAGGTTTCCTTGTATAACTTCCTGTTACCCTCTGGGCTTCCATAGGGCACTGCCCCTCCCCTGCCTTGGGCCATCTTCGTATGTATCTTCAGGGGAAGGTGGGTCCCTGAGGAGTTGTGGGGACTTTTCCTTATCTTTGACTATCTCCGCCTCAGGTGTGGATGGCACAGTGAGTGGCTGGGAGGAAGCCAAAATCAACAGCTCCAGCCCTCTGCGCTATGACCGCCAGCTAGGGGAATTTACAGTCACCCGGGCAGGGCTCTTCTATCTGTATTGTCAGGTAAGCCCACCTGGCTTGGCAGGGTGGTGGGAAGCCAGTCTGGCTATGGCATTTGAAAGTCCCTGGCTTTCCCTGCTTTCTCCCCATCTGCCCCACCCTGGTGCCTCACAGGTGCACTTTGACGAGGGGAAGGCTGTCTACCAGAAGCTGGACTTGCTGGTGGACAACGTGCTGACCCTGCGCTGTCTGGAGGAGTTCTCGGCCACGGCAGCCAGTTCCCTTGGGCCCCAGCTGCGTCTTTGCCAGGTGTCCGGGCTGTTGTCCCTGCGGCCCGGGTCCTCCCTGCGGATTCGCACACTCCCCTGGGCCCATCTCAAGGCTGCCCCCTTCCTCACCTACTTTGGACTCTTCCAAGTTCACTGAGGGGCACTGGGGTTCCCACTGTGTCCCCTCTGCCTGCTCCGCCCCCACCCACTGCTGCTCTGCCCTCCAGACCTGCCCCTCCCTCCGTGGGCTGTCAGGGCGTGTTCACGTGGTTCCCATACCACAGAAACACATTCTTACAATCCCTGCCCCGCCCTCCCCCCTGGCCTCCACCTCACTGGCTCCCAAGCCTTAATTTTTCCACACCCCCATTTACCCTCCCTCACCCAAATCACCAGGACACTCTGTTTTCTGACACTGTGGGCAAGGCTGGGGCTCCCCAAAAGACTCCACCTTCAGGCACAAAGAGGGGCTGGTGGCAGGAAGCCAGAGAGCCTGGAATTAGGCCAGGAGCTCCCAACTGTGAGGGGTGAGGGCCCGAGACAAGCTCTTCCCTTGAAAACTCCCTGTGGATTTTTAAAACAGATATTATTTTTATTATTATTGTGATAAAGTGTTGATAAATAGATATTAAAGAGAATGAGTCGAGGTCTGTCTTTATTGGGACCGGAGAAGGGGGGGGTCATTCTCAGCTCAGGGTTGCAGGGCCACAGGAAGAGGGTCTGGCCTAGGACAGGGGAGGCCGGCCTCTGTGCCCAGCAGGTGGGAGAGAGCGAGTAGGAAGGCACATTAGCAGGGAGAAAATCAATTCTCCGCTCAAGGTACAGCCCCAGCGGCCTCATTTCCCTAGGAGGCGGGCTTCCTCCTCGGGGGAATCCCTGGCTGGGAGGAGCGGGCCCTTCCTCTTGGCAGCCTCGGGACCTGGAGCAGGTGCAGGCATAGGCCCTGATTGGCAGATGGGGTGGGAGCCAGTCTGAGAGGGGCTCAGAGTCACTGAGCAGAAGACTGGGCCCAGGCCTGGGGAAAACTTGGGCCCCTCGGACCTGCAGAGGAATCCTGCGGGGGGTCGGAGGTGAGGGGTGGGGGTGGGGGTCTTGGGACTGCCTCTTTGTCTTTTCGTCTTGAGCCTTATGTAAGACTTGTTCCTGGGAAACAGGAAGTCCTGCTTGCCAAGTTCGGCAGTGCAGGGAGTATTGCGGCCTCATTCCAACACACCCGGCCTGGCTTTAACCCCAGCACTCACCAGTTTCTTGCTTCTGGTTCTCTTTGCCGCAGGCCTGCACCCCTCTTTTCCTGCCTTCAGTCACCCCTAGAGCTTCCCCCTAGAGAGATCACGCTCATGCCCGAGCCAAGGGGGCTTCCACCCTCAGCCCCCGACCCTTGACTCTGCCCAGCTTATCCCCCCCAATCCTGGCTCCTGGCACCATGCCCCAGAGCCAGCCAAGCTTCCCTCCCCCAACTCTGGGGCCGCCCCTGGGTTCCTGTGCTCTGGCCGCTCCTCCTGGGTGGCACTGGCAGCCCTGGTCTTCCTAGAGATACTGCCACAAAATTCTCCTGGGGGACTGGAGGGGGCGCCTCGGGGGACACTTGCCCCGCAGCGGGGTGCCAGGAGTACCGACAGTACCTCTAGCTCGCTTTCCTCCTCCCTCCTGTCCATTATCAAGTTCCTTTTTCTTTCTCCCTTGCGTAACGCTCTCCTTCCCTTCTGCACCGCTTGCCTGCACCCCCACCCTCCTGCCAACGCTGTCACCCTACAACCAAGATCAGGGCTGTTAGCAGGGTCCTGGGTTCATGCCAGCCTCATCTCCTTTCTTGCTAGCCCCCAAAGGGCCGCAGGGCGACCCGGGGGGCCCAGTTCGAGAGCCAGCACTCTCAGTGGCTCTCTGGTTGAGTTGGGGGGCGGCTCTGGGCGCTCTGGCCTGTGCCATGGCTCTGCTGGTCCAACAAACAGAGCTGCAAAGCCTGAGACGAGAGGTGAGCCGGCTGCAGAGGGGTGGCGGGCCCTCCCAGAAGGCCGACGAGTATCCCTGGCAGAGACCTTGGGAGCAGGTGAGTGAGGACAGCAGGGGTCTCTGGGCCACCCCCTTCTTGGGGCTCACCTTCCCGATTTGCAAAGTTTCAAGTGGCTGCGAGAGAGGGTCCCGGGTTTGGAAGTCCAGGGGAGCGGCCATACCAGGAAAGGAAACTGTTAAAGATTAATGCTCCTCGTCCCTAACAGATCCTGGAAGACAGCCAGCACCAAGACACAGGGCGCTAGGAAAGGTGCAAGAATGATCCCAGGGCCAGGGCTGGGACAGCCATTGGGGACCCTGGCATGTTTATAGTCAAAGCCTGCCTCCTCCTCTTTCCGCAAGCAGAGCCCCGAAGCCTTGGAAGCCTGGCAGAATGGGGAGAGACCCCGGAGACGGAGAGCTGTGCCCACCCAGAAGCAGAAGAGTGAGAGGCGTCGGGTGCAGCTCAAGCCCCGAGCAGGGTGTGGGTGGAGGGCGGGCCCCTGGACAGCGGCAGCAAGTGGACACTGCTGAGACTTCCCCCTTCTCTCCTCAGAGAAGCGCTCAGTTCTTCATCTTGTTCCCATTAACATCACCTCCAAGGGTGAGCACCACATCAAATGCTAGCTTCTGGGGAGGGACAAGAGCTGTGAACGCTGGAGCTGGTGCCTGGGCCATGAGGTGGGGGCCGGGTACCAGGGAGAGTGTGGGAGTATGCCAAAAGAGCCTGACCACCACACTCCTTCTCTCCAGAGGACTCCGATGTGACGGAAGTGATGTGGCAACCAGCTCTTCAGCGCGGGAGAGGCCTGGAGGCCCAAGGATACGTTGTCCGAGTCTGGGACAGTGGATTTTATCTGCTGTATAGCCAGGTAGCCCTGAGACTTACCCTGAACCTCAACGGGGGGGTCCAAAGGCTACCTCTTTGCCTTCACATCCTGGTGCTGGGGGTGTCCTAAGCTTCCTCGGTCCACTGCAAGCTTTGAAGACCCTTGTTCATTCCCTGGACCCCTTGTGAAGGATCCAGAGGCCACCCAGAATTTGCTCTCATGCTCCCCACCCCGGCTGTCCTCAACACCTTCCTTTGCTGCCCAGGTCCTGTTTCATGACGTGACTTTCACCATGGGTCAGGTGGTGTCTCGGGAGGGCCAGGGAAGGCAGGAGACTCTTTTCCGATGCGTCTGCAGCATGCCCTCCGACCCGGATCGGGCCTACAACAGCTGCTATAGTGCAGGTGAGGGCCACCAGGGCAGTGGGGCAGGTGGGCGTGGGATTGGGGCAGGGCACTATGCCAGGAAGCTGAATGTCTGGACAGAGGATGCAAGGGATGAAGGGTACTATTGTACGCAGGAGGCAGAGAAGGGGGCTGGAGAAGGCAGAGAGAAATGGCAGCGAGCATCTATCTTCTCTCTTTTCTCAGGGGTCTTCCATTTACATCAAGGAGATACCCTGAGCGTCACAATTCCCCGGGCAAGGGCAAAATTCAGCCTCTCTCCACACGGCACTTTCCTGGGGTTCGTGAAACTGTGATTGTGTTAGAAGATGTGTTTCTGAGCGTGGTACCCGTCAGAGATGGCCGGGGGAGCTGGCTAAACCAAGGACAGGGCATGGGGCAGCAACAGAGACCTCTTCCTGGGTTTGGGTCTCTGCTCCTCTCCTTTCCTTCTCCACTCCCAATCCTCCCCTCCCACCCCGACTTTTGAGTGAGTGGACACGAAAGAGGCAGAATATTTTGCTTTTATCCCCCCACCGAAACGCCTGTGTGTGTATGTATGTGGAGTGGGGGACCCTGGCAGGCATTGTGTATACACCTGCCACGCTTAGGTCCACTGGAACGCATCCAGAACTGCACCACCACCTAGTGGCAGCTGGAGGGAATGGCTCTGCTCGTAGGCCCTCCGCAAGGGGAAAACCCGTTTCCTACAGCACGCCTCTCTCCGGGTACCCTCTGCCTCTTCCTTCTCTCCCAGCACCATCCCTCTGCAGAGGCCTACCTAGTATGCACCTGTCTGCGGCCACAGCATTTTTGGGGACCCACGTTTTGCCTTTCGCGTGGCGTGGCCCAGCTCCCGGCTGGACTGGTTCCCGGGAACCTTGGATACATCCCGCCTCGCACCCACCTTCCCCTCCATCCCCAAGGGCAGGTCCTGCTTCACTCTAATGAGCTCTCTCTTCGGCTCAATCCCTGCCTAAAAGTGAAATAAAATGAATGATACACGCTGGACTCTCTTTCTTCGCTTCGGGCTTGTCCCCGCACCATGATCTCTCCTGCTCCTCTTGCTCTTTCTCGGCGCCCCAGCCCGGGGAGGGACTCGGAGGCGCAGACCGGCCCACGGAGAGGTTCCAGGCCACGCACGGACTCCGAGGCGCAGGCCTCAGGGGGGTGGAGCAGGCCGGTCCGGGAGCGCGCGGCATGGGGAGCTGGCCAGTGTGCGCCTGCGCGAGTGGGCGGGGTGCTGGACCGCCACGCGCCTCCTGGAACCTAGCTAGTGCGCAGGCGCAGTCGACGCCGCGGTCGGGGCAGCGGGCAGGTCCGGTAGCGTTTTCGCTCTCGCGGGGAGGCGGGCCTGTGCGCGTGGTGGCCGCGCCGGCGCCGTTCGCCGGGTGTGACGTGCTAAGTCTGCGCCGCCACAGCCGGTGGGCCTGGGGCTCGCGGGCGGGGAGGGAGGAGGAGGAGGGGGAGGTGGTGCTGGTGGCGGCGGAGGTGGAGGCTGAGGAAGAGCCTGGAGGCGGCCGCGGCGGGGCGGCTCGGCGGCGGCGCGCGCCCCTGAAGCGTTGGGATCCTGAATTAAGGCGGCGGCGCCGGAGGACAGCAGGAGTGGCGGGGCCGCCACCGTCGCCGGAGAGAGATGAGCCGGGAAGCCTGAGGCCAGAGACGCCCGCCCTCGGGGGACCCCCGTCCGCCCGGCTTCCCCGCTCCGGGTGAGGACGCCCCCTCCTCGTCCCCTCCCCCTGCCTTGCGGTGGTGCGTTCCCCGGGTCTCGCTCCTCCATCTCACCGCGGCCGGGAAGCCCCCCGAAGGGGCTTGCACAGCCATCGTGGGGGGGACTCCTCCTGGTCCGGGAGGCTGGGCTGGGCGAGTGGGCTGGGTCGGCTGGGCTCGCGCGGCTCCGTGGAGTCCCCGGCGCCTCGGCTGGGCTGCTTCACTGCCGCTGCCGTTCATTTTCGGGTTTCTTCCAAATGCTCCCTCTTTTTTTTTTTTTTCTCCCTGAGAGTCTGTCCCCCTGAACCGTAGCCTTGGCATCCCCGTTCCCACGTGAGATGACCTCAACGTATCCACACTACCTTCCCCTCCTCATTCGAGAACTGTCCCCTTGCACTTTCCCTGAACTTGAGTACCTTAGGAGTCCCATTTTGAGCCGCCCTTTTGAGCCGAGGTATAGGGTTTCGGGGAGGCCAGCCCTGGTTGAATTAAAATGGAGAAAAATTCAGTCTGAAATCACCGAATTGGACGCGGGGTTCCAGCAGTAATTACTGATCGCCAAGGCGGGCCTTTTTCCTTTGGGCAAGATGATGGCAAGGTGTCCCTGGTAGGCCGTGGTATTCACGGGGATGCTTTGAAGTTGTGTTGGTGTTCATGTTCTTTCCTTAGTCTATTTGCATCTGAATGCGCTAAGGAAGCCGGGCGGAGGGGCCTGACTGGATGCTCAGGTTCAAAACCTCTGTTCCACAGGGTGCTGGAAGATGAAAGAAACGGTCCAGGGGACCGGCTCTTGGGGCCCTGAGCCTCCGGAGCCCGGCCTAGCCCCAGCTTACTCCAGTCCCAGGCGAGAACGGCTTCGTTGGCCCCCACCCCCCAAACCCCGACTCAAGTCAGGTGGTGGCTTCGGGCCGGATCCCGGGTCCGGGACCACAGTACCTGCAAGGCGCCTCTCTGTCCCTCGACCCTCCTTCGATGCATCAGCTAGCGAAGAGGAGGATGAGGAGGAGGAAGAGGAAGATGAAGATGAGGAGGAGGAGGTGGCCGCTTGGAGGCTGCCCCCCAGATGGGTTCAGATGGGAGCATCATCGCAGCGGCCTCGCCCTTCTCGCCCTAGTCATCGGAAAACCTGCTCGCAGCGCCGCCGCCGCGCCCTGAGAGCTTTCCGGATGCTGCTCTACTCCAAAAGCACCTCACTGACATTCCACTGGAAGCTCTGGGGGCGCCACCGGGGCCGCCGGCGGAGCCTGGCGCACCCCAAGAACCATCTTTCACCCCAGGAAGGGGGTGCGACGCCACAGGTGCCATCCCCATGCTGTCGTTTTGACTCCCCCCGGGGGCCACCCCCACCCCGGCTGGGTCTGCTAAGTGCTCTCATGGCTGAGGATGGGGTGAGAGGGTCTCCTCCAGTGCTCTCTGGGCCCCCCCTGGAGGAAGATGGACTAAGATGGACTCCAAAGTCTCCCCTGGACCCCGACTCCGGTAAGGTGGCAGAGGTGGTGGGGAGGGGGGCTAAGCATCCGGAATGTCAGGTGTCTCTTGGTGTGGTGAGACTTGAGGCTGGGGCAGGAGGGCGGAAGGTGCTCCTCCCGGCCTGTTGGGCTGAGAGCCAGTGTGCGCATCCACGGGAGTCACCGTCCTCACGTGGCCTCTCCCAGGAGTGTGCTCTCCCTCTTGTAGCAGCATCCCTGCGACTGTGTGGGACATTCTTGTCAGAGATTTCCCTTTCTGAGAACTCCACCCGAACACTTTTCAAGCTCTCTTGTTTCTACGCAGTATTCAAGTACTTAAGGCACAGCAATGGAGGTAGAGATATATCTTCCATCTAGCGTTTCCCTGCCTACATGCCTGCCACAGGGTCCCACGCTGTGGTGTAATGCCTGTGGCACTGACATCACATGTGGGTATCAGTTCACATCCTGGCTATTCTACTTCCTAACCAGCTCCCTGCTTGTATCTTGGGAAAGCAGCAGAATATGGCCCAAAGCGTTTCAGACCTTGCATCTGTGTGGGATATGTGAGAAGGCTGGGGGCTGCTGGCTTCAAACTAGACAAGCTCTGGCTCTTGTGACCATTTAGGGAAAACCGGAGGCTGGAAATTCTTTCAAACTGGCTTTTGGGTAAATAGAGGCCAGTGCTATGGCACGGTAGTCTGGGCCTCTACCTGTGGTGCCAGCATCCTGTGTGGGTGCTTGTTGGAGTTTTGGCTGCTCCGCTTCCCATCTAGCTCCCTGCTTGTGGCCTGGAAGGGCAGCGGAAGATGGCTCAAGCCCTTGTGCACCTGCATCTGTGTGTTAGATCCAGAGGAGCCTCTGCACTCCTAAATTCAGATTAGCCCAGCTCTGGCCATTGCAGCTATTTGGGGAGTGAACCAACTGATAGAAGATCTCTGTCTTTCTCTCTTTCAGATAAAAAGATTAATGTTAATAACTTTTTTAAAAAAATGCCTGTGATGGGTAGGGCTGGATAGAGCACAGCCTGGAGCTACAACTTCCCTGGGATTCCCCCTTGTGGGTGGCAGGAGCCATCATGGGGTGTCTCCCAGGCCTACTGGCCAAATGAAATGTAGAGCAGAACTTGATGCTAGGCACTCTGGCCTGGGATATGGCGTGATTCCACACTGCTGCTGCGCCATGGTTCCTCCCTGCACAGCACTGACTCTTCACTGCAGCCAGGGTGCCATGCTGGCTGATAGACAATAATTGGTGGTGACAACCCTGATTTTTTTTTTAGTGGTGGTGGTAGGGTCTTTATTTAAAAGGTAAGGAAATCTCATAGAGTGGGCAGAGATGGAAAAGGTAGAAGAGAGATTTAGATATTCATCTTGTATACATACGTTTATGTGGTGACGGCAGAGAGGGTGCTCCTCCCCATGTCCTGGGGGGGTGGGGCCTGGTTACATGGTACCACCTTCCTGTCCCGGGTGAGGGGGAGTATAACCTGGGGAAGGGAAGGCTTGAAAATCCCATCACGCTGAATTCTCGTCTTCTGTTTCCCTCCTGTGTCAGAGTAGAAACTCTATTCTGTCCCGTTAGAGTCTGCGGAATATTCTTGTTTCAGGCTTTGGGGGGGGTCTCCATTTTGTAAAGTGCCAACCCACTGTTTGTGTGCTTCCCTTAGTCCTCTATGGTCTCCCACTTTCTCAACCCAGTCCTGTTGTCTGCCTTCTAGGCCTCTTCTCGTGTACTCTGCCCAATGGTTTTGGGGGGCCACCTGGGCCAGAAGGGGAGCGCAGCCTTGCGCCCCCTGATGCCAGCATCCTCATCAGCAATGTCTGCAGCATTGGGGACCACGTAGCCCAGGAGCTTTTCCAGGGCTCTGAGTTGGGCCCCTCGGAGGAGGCCGAGCAGCCTGGGGAGAAAGCTGGCCAGCACAGCCCCCTGCGCGAGGAGCATGTGACCTGCGTGCAGAGTAAGAAGCGTGGGGCACGTCTCCCTCCCTCTGCGGAACCCGGCCCCCAACGGCAGTACTCACCTCCTTCTCTTCCTCCTCCAGGCATCTTGGACGAATTCCTTCAAACATACGGTAGCCTCATCCCCCTCAGCACTGATGAGGTTGTAGAGAAATTGGAGGACATTTTCCAGCAGGAGTTCTCTACGCCTTCCAGGTGAGGCTCAGAAAATGACTGTCCTGTAAAGGAGGCTGGGAGCTGGGGCGTGAAGAAAGAACATGGCTGCCTCTTTTCTTGGGCTGTACCTGGGGAAAAGGAGGGCGCTGCAGGCAATGTGCAGAGTCCTGTGCACAGACCTGGGGGCTGCTGCCTGGGACCCCAACACAGTAGGTAGACTCGTGGAGTATTCCTGCACACTTTTCTGGGGAGTAGGCTGTTAGCAGGTCTTTAAAAAAGCCCCCCCTCAAAAAAAAAGTTGGGGTTTAGGTTCTTATTCTGGGCAACAGTAGTACATCTGACTGCCACATCTCTCCTCTCTTTTACCGTTGGCCTACTCAGGAAGGGCCTGGTGCTGCAGCTGATCCAGTCCTACCAGCGGATGCCTGGCAATGCCATGGTCAGAGGCTTCCGGGTGGCCTATAAGCGGCATGTGCTGACCATGGACGACTTGGGGACCTTGTATGGACAGAACTGGCTCAATGACCAGGTAAGAAGAAAGTAAAGAATTAGACCTAAGAGGGGATTTAAGAGAGCAGAGCATCTGGGTCCTCTGCGTCGGGGAGTGGTGGTCCTTTGTCTCCTCCCCTATGGCAGGTTGTCTCCCATCTTCCCCCAGGTGATGAATATGTATGGAGACCTGGTCATGGACACAGTCCCTGAAAAGGTAGGTAAACCCAGAGACTCCTGTCTGCTGAAATAGGCCATTCTATGCAGCTTTGCAGTCTCCCACTTTGTATAAAAAGTCTGATTCTCGGAGAGGTAGCATGTGATAATCCATTAATTTCAAATCTATAATCTTGGCCCTGCATAATCAATTTTATTTTTTTAACTTTCTGGCAGTCTTTATTATTTTGCCCTATGGCTAACCACAAGAATTGGGATGGGAGCTATCTGTAAGATAAAGCTAACAATTTTTGTGGTACTGGCAGTGATTTGAGTGGGGGTTGAGCCCATGCTGAGAGCGCATGCAGTGGGAATGGCGTGGGAGCAGGGACTGGGGGAGAGAGTGAGGGCTGCAATCTCATCCAGTTCTTTTGCGTCATTGGCACAGGTGCATTTTTTCAACAGTTTCTTCTATGATAAGCTCCGCACCAAGGGATACGATGGGGTGAAAAGGTGGACCAAAAATGTGAGTTATGAGTCCCCGTTGCTGTGTCCTGCACGGCCTTAGACAAGGCATTTCCTGCCCATTGTTCATTCATCATTGTCCAAATAGTAAATGTCCTCTGTGTGCCCAACATTTGTACCTACTGAGGATTCAGTATTAAATACAACTATATGTCCATGGAATGTAAGAATAAACAAATGATATCTTTCTGCTAGTGACGAGTGCTGTGAGTAGAATAAGGCAGAGTAATCCAATAGCCTGAGAGTTGGGTCCTTTGAGTGGCCTAGAAAGAATTTTTTTAAAGAACTTTATTTTGTTGGAAAGGCAGATCAGATTATATGGAGAGAAAGCAAGCAAGAGAGAAAAGTCTTCCATCTGCTGGTTGACTCCCCAAGTGGCTGTAATGTTGAAGCTGAGCCAGTCTGAAGCCAGGAGCAAGGTGTTTCCTCTGGGTCTCCCACGCGGGTGCAGGGTCCCAAGGCTTTAGGCCGTCCTCAACTGCTTTCCCAGGCCACACAAGCAGGGAGCTGGATGGGAAGTGAAACAGCCGGGGTATGAATTGGTGCCCATATGGGATCCCAGAGCATGCGAGGCAAAGACCCCAGCCGCTTGGCTACTGTGTTGGACCCTGTTTTGCTTTTTAAAGATTTGTTTTATTTCTATTTGAAAGGTAGAGTTACATAGAGAGGGAGAGACCTTCCATCCATTGGTTCACTCTCCAAGTGGCTACTGGAGTAGTTTCTTCCAGTGAAGTGTTAAAGGTAAGGCCAGAAGCTGGCACAGTGGTGCCAAGGCTAATCATGCCAGTGGCCTATGTGGGTGCCAGTTTGTGACCTGGCTACATCTAGCTCTTTGGTTATAGTCTGGGAAAGCAGCAGAGGATTCCCCCAAGTCCTTGGGCCCCTGCACCCACACAGGAGGCCTAGAAGAAGCTCCTGGTTCCCAGCTTTTAATCAGCTCAGCTCTGGCTGTTGAATGTACTCACGAAGTGAACCAGCAGATGCAAGTTCTCTTTCTCTCTCTTCTGTAAAAATATGCCTGTCAAGTAAAAAAAGAAAGAAAAAAATAAATATGGTGAAGCAGTGGGACTTTCCATTAGGTCCGATGTGGAAAGTGAAGAAAGAAGAAAGAAATGGAGGGGGATGACTGGATGGCCTGTGTACCTGGGAGACATGAAGGAAGGGCACGGTTTGACTAAAAGCAAGAGCTGGTTTTACCTCTGGTTTCCCTGCCCTCAGTTCAGTCAGAGGACATTTGTACAGAAAGAGAAGACCATTGCTCCAGTATTTGTCCCCAGGTTCATGAGCTTATACCCTCAGAAACCTGGCAGGCCTATTTTTGTGTAAGCTGGGGCAGCCTACATGCAAGTTCGAATCCCAGCTCTGCCATTTCTTAACTCGAGTGGCTGAGTTGACTTTTCCCAGCTGCAGTTTCCTCATCTGTGAACATGAACAGAACAGCTTTGTGGTAGGATTTTGAGGAGTAGCTGAGGGAGCATGTCCTTCATGCCGGGCACTGCTCTTCGTGTGAATTTTAGCTAGCTGAATTCTCAGATGAACTGTAGGCACTATTATTATTTCCACTCTCCCACAGAGAAGGTAACAGGTCTTTGATGTTACTGGGTAGCTTGCCTGTGATCATTGGCAGGTAAGGGAGGAGCTGGATTTGAATTCTGGCAGCCTGGTTCACTAATCTTGAACCTGTCTTTAAAAAAAAAAAAAAAAAGACTTATTTTTATTTGGAAAGGCAGATTTACATAGAAAGAGAGACAAAGATCCTCTGTCCAGTGTTTCACTCCCCAAGAGACTGCAGTAGCTGAGGGTGCCAAGAAAGCAGCCTGGCGAGCACTTTAGCCACTAGGCTTCCGTGCTGGGCCCTGAGCCTATCTTCTTAAGATGCTCGGTGCTTGTTGTTCTTGTGTGGCAACTACTTGCCCTGTCTGATACCATCTTCTTACATTCTGCTGTACTCCCTTGCTCTTAAGAACAGAAACATCTGGGTTCTGCGCAGTAACCCAGCGGCTAAAGTCCTTGCCTTGCACACACCAGAATCCCCTATGGACACTGTTTCTAATCTCTGTGGCCCTGCTTGTGGCCTGGGAAAGCAGTCGGGACCCTGCACCCTCACGGGAGACCGGGAAGAGGTACTGGCTCCTGGCTCTGGATCGGCATAGTGCCGGCATTGCCGCCACTTGGGGAGTGAATCATTGGACGGAAGATCTTCCTCTCTGTCTCTCCTCCTCTCTGTATATCTGACTTTGCAATAAAAATAAATAAATCTTTAAAAATTAAAGAACAAAACAAACATCCACAGCTGGCTTGCTTCACATTTGCAGGCTTTGCTCTGTGACCTCCCGTTTGGCCTCCCAGCCTGTCGCAGCAGGACTGTTCTGCATGGTAGCTGAGCTCTGGTGCTCTTTCTTTAGGTGGACATCTTCAATAAGGAGCTACTGCTCATCCCCATCCACTTGGAAGTGCATTGGTCCCTCATCTCTGTTGATGTGAGGCGACGAACCATCACCTATTTTGACTCTCAGCGCACCCTGAACCGTCGCTGTCCTAAGGTTTGAAGGGGAAGATGAAGATGGGTGTAAAGTGGAGGGTTGGTGGGCATTTCAGGAGGGAGGGCAGGCTTTGGGTTTCTGGGGAGTGACCTGGGCATGGTGGCTGCTTTGACCTTGGCCTGGGGCCCATTAGAAGCACAGAACATCACTTTCTTTTCCCCCAAACATATAGCATATTGCCAAGTATCTGCAGGCAGAGGCAGTGAAGAAAGACCGACTGGATTTCCACCAGGGCTGGAAAGGTTACTTCAAAATGGTAAGCTTCCAGAAGGGGGTTATCGGGAAGCGGCAGAGACGGAAGTCGGGCCTGCGAGTCTGCAGGTGAAGGACCCGCCTCTCTGTTCTCTAGAATGTGGCCAGACAGAACAACGACAGTGACTGTGGCGCCTTTGTGTTGCAGGTAAGCAGATGGGGCCTACTCCTGTGGCTCGGGAGTCAGTTGGGGTAAATGGGCGGGGAAGGTGGGGGAGTGCCAAGGGGTCCCTCGTTTGGCTCCCAGCCTGTTCTGCATGGACATGCTGGGACCCTGGACATGCTGGGACCCCCGCCCTGGCTCCCACGGAGCTCTCTCCTAACCTCTGCCTCTTAAACACGGAGCAATCTCACCAGTGTCATGGAGTAAGAAGGCTAGTGTTTAGAGCTGGACTGCTTGCAAAGCCCAGGTGCAGGACTTCAGTTCCCTTTGTATGTGACATGAAATGGTTCTCTGTGAGAGAGGCGGAGGCTCTCCTGTGAAGCTGCTAGCACAGGTCATGTGCTGGGATGCACTGGGGGTCCCAGGCTGGTTCTCACGTCTATTTTCTAACACCCAGTACTGCAAGCACCTGGCCCTGTCGCAGCCATTCAGCTTCACCCAGCAGGACATGCCCAAACTCCGCCGGCAGATCTACAAGGAGCTGTGTCACTGCAAACTCACCGTGTGAGCCTCGCCCCAGCCCCACACCGCCGGCGCCAAGGAGCCCCTTCCCGAGAAGCTCCGCTCCCTTTCCTCTCTGGCCTCTCCTCACCCAGTTCCTTTGGTTTTTCATATTTAAATGTTTTGATTTCTGTATTTTTTTTTTTTTTGAGAAAATACTCGTTGATTTCTGATGGCAGGGGATGGCCACCGCAAAGCCCTTTCCCTCCCTGCCTGCAGGGAGGTGGCCTGGTGTCAGGCCGAGGTGGACGGCCTCCCCCTTCCGTGTGCAGGGGCAGGAAATCAGTGCTGGGGGTGGTGGGCGGGCAAAGGGATTTCTGCCTGCCGGATCTGCAAACGTTTTTTATATATATATATAAATGCCACGGTCCTGCTCTGGTCAATAAAGGATCCTTTGGAGATAAGGGAGTGGTGTTCTTTGTGGACAGCTTGGGAGGCCCGTCAGCCGGGAACGCGGAGGGGACTGAGCCCCGCCAGCCCGGGGCGGGCGTCACCCCGGGGTGCGTCCGGTGCCGTCCAGCCCTGCGGAGCTGCAGGGCAGAAGCTCGGGGAACCTGGAGCGCGGGGGCCCGGCGGCCCCGAGGCTGAGGCCACGCCCCCTCGCGGGATAGGCTCGGCGGAGCCACGTGACGGGGACGCCAGCGCCTCTGCACGTGTGAGGATGCAAGGCCCCAAGATGGCTGCCAGGCCTCGAGGCCAGACTAGGGTATGTCACTTCCGTGCCGGCGAGAAAGGCGGCACACTAGCCAATAAGGCGGCGGGGCGGGCCTTCACTTTGACAGGCGCTCAAGCCGTCCAATGGTGGCTTCGTGCCAAAGGGCCTACGGACGGACGTCACGCCGAGTTGCCGAGCGCCGCCAGGCGGGCCGAAGCGGCCAGGCCAATGCGATGGCTGGGGCGGGGTCGGGCGCTCTATAAGTTGTCGATAGGCGGGCACTCCGCCCTAGTTCCTAAGGATCATGTCTGCGAGCCAGGATTCCCGGTAAGAAAGCACTTGCAAGAGGCTGGGGCTCCTCGGGCTGCCGCTCCCCGCCGAGGGCACCGCTCCGCTCCAGCCCACCAGGGAGGCGGGGAGACCCGAGTCGGGAGGACACGTCGGGGCCCCGGGGAGGATGGCGGCCGAGGCCGGAGGGCCGGGCCGCCGTGCGCCGAGGGCCGAGCGAGGGCGCGGCCTGGCGTGGGGCGCGGGAGGAGGCGCTGGCCTCCCGGGCCGGGGCGGTCTCCGCGCGGACTTGCGGGGCCGCGGGGTTCTGGCGGGCTTGGCTCGCGACGGGCGGGACGGGCGGAAGCCGGCCGTTCAAGGTGCTGGTTTTCTTGACGGCCAGGACCGAGCCTAACCCCGAGGAGCGGCCGCGTGAGGCAGCAGGAGCCCACCCGGCGTCGGGCGGGCGGGTCCATTTTGCCGCACGAGCCGGGCAAGTGGCACACTGCGGATGGGCAGGTCCACTCTCCTGCGGGGGTGAGCGGCCTGAGGTACGGGAGGGCGACGCCAGTTCGCGGCGGGGCGGGCGCGGGCGGGGGTCGGGAGCCGAGCACATGGCGGCCTGCGGCGGTCCCCTCCCCCCGGCCCGCTTGGCTGCCGAGTGTTGTGCAATCTCCCCCACCCCCTGGGCTGGCTCGGCCGGGGCTCATTGTGCGCGAGGCCGCCACCGCCCGCGGCCTCCCACATCCGGGCACCGCACGGGGGGGACCGGCCGGAGGGCGGAGTGACGTGGGGAAGCGAGGCGGAGGGCGGGACTTCCGGCGCGCGGGGCCTGGGAGCCGCGCGGGCCCGGGACACGTGGGCGGCGGCCAGCACCGCATCCGGCCCCCTGAGCCCCCGGGTGTGCTTTCGGGGCGCGTGTCCCCCGCTGCGCGCAGGACCGGGCAAGAGGCCTGACTGGGCTGGGAAGGGACCGCAGGGTGTCTGAGCGGGCGAGCTGATGGCATCGGGCTTGGCCGGCTGCTTGGTGTAGAGCCTGTGGGGATGTGTGATGTGCCACGTGCGTCCGCAGGGCACCCAACCCATGCTTTAAATCAACAGATCCAGAGACAATGGCCCCGATGGGATGGAACCCGAAGGTGTCATTGAGGTGAGACTGAACCCTGCCGCCACTGCCCACTCCCTTCCCCGGGCGTCCCTCGAGTGCTGTTCCCGGCTTCTAGAACGGGAGACTTGGCAGGTTTGAGTTAGGACAGAGCTGAAGATGAGTTTTGTGCGTGGGGTGACCTCGTACTCATAGGAAAGCTGGAATGCATTGGAGTCTTCCCCGTGGTTTGCGGCACGTCGGTTTGTATTTTGTGTATCAGACCCACTTTTAGAGTGGATCCTGCCTCTTAATCAGACTCCGTTCCTGTGAGTGGGCTTCCCTGACGGGTGAGCTGGAATGTTGGCACAGCCTGAGCCCCAGTAAGTAAAACTCATATCCCTTTGCTTCCCACAGAGTAACTGGAATGAGATCGTGGATAGCTTTGATGACATGAACCTCTCCGAGTCTCTCCTGCGCGGCATCTACGCCTATGGTTTCGAGAAGCCCTCTGCCATCCAGCAGCGTGCCATTCTTCCTTGTATCAAGGGTGAGACCCCCACAGCATGTCTGGAGTTGGCCCTGAGCCTCAAAGGATTACTGCGTGTAGATGGTTCCCACCTCCTATTGGCTGGGGACAAAGCAACTCCGATTATCCCAGCTTGTCTTTTGGTCTGGGATATGTGGGCTGCTGGTCCTGTTTGCTAGCTTAGCGCGGTCTGTTCCTTGATTTGTCCCTTCGTGTGGTGATAAAGTATTGTTTGTGAAGCACTTCAGGCTCGGTTCCTTGTTAATTTCATCATTAGGTACTTAAGTCAGGGCTTTCAGAGTGAGGTCTAATTTCTGTGTATTTAGGTTATGATGTGATCGCTCAAGCCCAATCTGGGACGGGAAAAACGGCCACATTCGCCATATCGATTCTGCAGCAGATAGAGCTGGACCTGAAGGCCACCCAGGCCCTGGTCCTAGCACCCACTCGTGAACTAGCCCAGCAGGTGAGTGTGGCTCTGTACAGGAGGGCTGACGCCAGAAGCGTGTTCTTCAGGAACAGATCCTTGGTTAGAGGAAGTGGGTCGCTGATTTTTCACCTCTGAAGATCTACTGGGTTACAATTATGTGGTATTCCCCACTTAAACACAACTGCTACTTCCTGAGTTAATGGGAAGATGGCTGGGCTGAGCCTTGACTGGCTGGGCAAGTTGGGTGACTGATCCCCGCCCCTGGCAATGGGCAAGGAGACATCTTGCTTGTGATGTTGCTCTTATATCAGCCAGGGGCAGAGCAGATGCAGTCCTTTGTTCATCCTAGCTTGATGCCTGTTGGTGGCCAGAGCTGTTTCATGCCTAGGGCACAGAAGAATCTGCATTTCGGGTCTAAAGCACGGGTGACAGGGCTTGCAGTGGGGGGTAAGGGTTTAATGTCCCATGTTTATGTCATGTGGTTCTTTGAACTGTGTTTAATGGAGTGAATTAAATGGGTCAGTTTTCAACTTTGGGCTGCTGGAAAGTATGGAAAACATGGGTGTGGCTAACATTGGCACACCTGTCTTCCTCTGGTTCAGATACAAAAGGTGGTCATGGCATTAGGAGATTACATGGGTGCATCCTGTCATGCCTGCATTGGGGGTACCAACGTGCGTGCTGAGGTGCAAAAACTACAAATGGAAGCTCCCCATATCATTGTGGGGACCCCTGGCCGTGTATTCGACATGCTTAACCGGAGATACCTGTGTGAGTAGCCCGATTTTCTGTCCCCTCCCCCAGCTCTATATACATCTTACCATGTGTTTCCCTCTTAGCCAGCCTCATTCCCAAGGCCTCCAGGCCTCTCTTCCCTGAAGGTTGCTCTGTGATGAACCCCATGCGTGTCATCTGAGCCTTGGCTGCCCTGTCACCTCAGCCCAGGGAGTGTTCTACTTCCCAGGCTGTTGTCTGGCCTGTCGGGGAGTCCTGGCAAAGGATCAAACATCATACCCTGAGAGCAGAAGGCCTGCCTCCTTCCTCTTCATGAAGGTGGGCCACGCTGCCTGTTGAACAGGTTGCTACATGGTAGTTTTTTTCTTCTCCCCCACTTCTATAGCTCCCAAATATATCAAGATGTTTGTACTGGATGAAGCTGATGAAATGTTAAGTCGTGGATTCAAGGACCAGATCTATGACATATTCCAAAAGCTCAACAGCAACACCCAGGTGAGAAAGGCAGTGAGGAGCTGGCTGGAAGGCCACATCTCACATAGAAACACTGGGTATTGGAGCTGGGGAAAGGGGGCGCAGGCACCATCAGGTGGTACCTGCTCTGAGGCTCAACTTTGCCCATCAGGTGGTCTTATTGTCGGCTACCATGCCTTCCGATGTGCTTGAAGTGACCAAGAAATTCATGAGGGACCCCATCCGGATTCTTGTCAAGAAGGAAGAATTGACCCTGGAGGGTATCCGCCAGTTCTACATCAATGTAGAACGAGAGGTGGGGCCTGGAGCAGGAGGCGGACCTTGGTATAGTAGCTGGGTATAGCCCCTGACTGATGTCTCTCCCCCACCTCCAGGAGTGGAAACTGGACACCCTGTGTGACTTGTACGAAACCCTGACCATAACCCAGGCTGTCATCTTTATCAACACCCGAAGGAAGGTTGATTGGCTCACTGAGAAGATGCATGCCCGGGACTTCACAGTCTCTGCCATGGTGAGTTTTCTTGGGCTTGCAGACCTGGGGCAGATGTACCTGGAGCCTGTGTGCCTACTGTATCCTGCCATTTCTTCCCCCAGCACGGAGACATGGACCAGAAGGAACGAGATGTGATCATGAGGGAGTTCCGCTCGGGCTCCAGCCGAGTGCTCATCACCACTGACCTGCTGGTGAGTAAAGTCTTCCAGGGCTGCGGAGGAGAGCACCAGGTCCAAGGTGATTCCCTCTTCCACGGGGCCTGACCAGTGCCTCCGACTGGAAAGTAGCAACTTGGAAGAGCACCTGGCATGCCTGAAGACTGAGGGGGCCCAGGCATGCTGGCTTCCTGTGCCTGCCTTCGGCTGCCTACATGCACAGCAGTCATCACTGTTCCCTCGCCCCAACACTGAATTCTCTCTCGTTGCAGGCCAGAGGCATCGATGTGCAACAAGTTTCTTTAGTCATCAACTATGACCTTCCCACAAACAGGGAAAACTACATCCACAGGTGAGTGTGGGTCTGAGCCTCCTGCCCAACCCCCTTAATTCCTAGCTGGAGGTTTTTCATACATGTCTTCCATACCCCTGTCTTTCAGAATTGGGCGTGGTGGACGATTTGGCCGTAAGGGTGTGGCCATTAACATGGTGACAGAGGAAGACAAGAGGACTCTCCGAGACATTGAGACCTTCTACAACACCTCCATTGAGGAGATGCCCCTCAATGTTGCTGACCTCATCTGAAGGGCTGGCCTGCTACGAGCCCCCACCTGGGGTTCAGTCCTTCAGGGGTTGAGGAGCAGCAGGAGGGGGGAGGGGAGGGAGCCAAGGGATGGACATCTTGTCATTTTTTTTTCTTTGAATAAATGTCACTTTTTGAGGCAAAAGAAGGAACCGTGAACATTCTAGAAACCCTTTTCTTTGGGGTAGGCTCTTGCCCCAGGCGCCGTCTCCAAAAAGAAAAAAACACTAACCCACTTCCCCAACCTAGTTACCTCCAGGTCCCAGAAGCTCTCTGTTCCCAGCTGAATTCCACACTTGATGTAGGGGTTCTCCAAGGTATTCAACCTCCTGTGCTAGACCAAAAAGTGCAGGGAGGCACCAGTGAGGTTGCCCAGTGGTTGAACCCAGCTGTGGGAGCAGGGGAGATAAAATGGTAGCCATTTTTACATTGTTTTGTATAGTATTTATTGATTCAGGAAGCAAACTCAAAATTCTGAATAAAATGACTTGGAAACTGCCAGTTTGGGCTTCTCATTTCTTCCTTTCCTCCACCTGCTTCTGGGTATGTCAAGCACCCTACAGCCAGACTGTTTTTAGCTGTGTGCTTCATGTTGACTTCCTAAATGGAAATGTTTTGACACAAAGAGAAAGTGTACTGGGGGAATGCGACCCCACTGAAGGTTTGGGTGTTTGCTGTCAAGTGCATCACATGTCTCCACTAAGAGGAAGTAGATGGGAGAGGAATGGGAAGGGGAATAGACAGTTGCTTCATTTCACCTCCACAGAGTGTGGCTCCCTGCGCCTGAGCCAATTATAACCACTTGCTTCAGCTTCCTGCCAATCAGCTGCCTCCTAGCTCCAGCTCATTTCTCTATTCATGTGCTGGCCGCCTTCACTTGGGCTCTGAAACCTCCCATTTAGGGTGCTGGGACCAATAGAACAGTCCCTTAACCAATGACCAGTGACTAAGAGATGGGTGGCTGGGGCTGTGGTGCCTGAGTCAGGTTAGGGGTGGGATTATCTCGCAGGAAGTAAGACACATTTTGTTTCCTCCTCTTCCGAGAGAAGGCTGGAGGAAAAGGGTTGAGCAACTGACTACCAGTTAAGAGTTGGACTTTGAGGCAGACTGGTCTTGCCATGAGGCTGCCCGTGCTTTTTGTGGTTTTGCTGGCACTGCAAGCAGGTAAGGAGCAGGGGAGAGGAGCGGGGAGCACTGGGAAGCAGCTTGTCTGGGGGCACTGACCGGCCTCTCTGCTGGAAGCCCAGGGGACAGGGGAAGCCTGGCCTCACAAGAAGTCGGCCACTCTGCTGCCATCCTTCACGGTGACACCTACAGCGACAGAGAGCACGACAACTTCGGGAACAACCAGCCACTGGACTACCAAGAGCCCCAACACCACCACTCCAGGCACCACCAGCCACAGACCCACCACTGCCATTCCCACCACAGGCCATGGGAATGTCACAGCCCACCCTACAACCAGCAACACCACCACCACGACCACCTCAGCACTCCCCACCAGCCACCTTCCCCCAGGCCCACCACCACCCTCTCCTAGCCCCAGCCCAGGCTCCAGGGAGGCCATTGGGACCTACACATGGAAGAATGGCTCGCAGCCCTGCGTCCAGCTCCAAGCTGGCATTCAGATCCGGATCCTGTACCAAACCCGAAGTGGAGGACAGGTGAGGCTGAAGGAGTCGGAGGGCAGGACAGCGGCCAGTCCTGCTGTGGTTCACGCGGAGGGGGGGAAAGAGGAAGAGGAGAGGTGGGGACAGAAGAAGCCCTGCAGTCTCATGACCACTTGTACCTTCCACTTCCGCAGGCGTGGGGCATCTCTGTGCTGAACCCCAACAAAACCAAACCCCTGGGGAGCTGTGAGGATCCCCATTCCCGCCTGCTTCTCTCCTTCCCCTCTGGACAGCTCAGCCTGGGATTCACACAGGTACAACTTCTCACTGCCGCCCTCCGCCCCTCCCACGGCCCCTCCCCGCCGGTTCCCTCTGGGGACATGGTTGTCACGCCCTGCCATTAACCTTGCAGGACCCAAAGCAGAACCAGAGCACGGTCTACCTGAGCTATATGGCTGTGGAGTACAACGTGACCTTTCCCCAGGCAGCACGTGAGTCTCTCCTGCCCTCCTCTCTTTGCCTGAAGGGACTAAGTTGGGGGGCGGGGGGCGGTGGCAGTACCTGACTCCCTCTCCCTACTCCAGAGTGGACGTTCTCCGCTTGGAACTCTTCCCTCCAAGATCTCCAGGCACCCCTGGGCCGGAGCTTCAGCTGCAGCAACGCCAGCATTGCCGTCTCCCCAACGTTGCACCTAGACCTGCTCTCCCTCAGGGTCCAAGCTGCTCAGCTGTCCCCGACAGGCATCTTTGGGCCAAGTAAGACCCCCTCCTCAAATCACCCCCTGCGTCCAAGGCTGCAACAGGCCCGCACTGACACTGGTCCTCACCCACTAATGTCGCATCTTTTCCACTCTGCCAGTATGTCAGGGACATGGTGCAATTGGGACCTGATTGTTCAATGGAAGCTCCTAGAGGTGTCCCGGGCTTCTTCCTTCTCCCCTCAGCCTCCACCAGCCCGTCTGGTGCTTTCCCCTGCAAGTCCTCAGCAATCTCCCAAAGCCCCCAGTCCCTCTGTGCCTCTGTGCCAACCACACTATCTTCCCATCAGGCTTCTCCTGTCCCACCGACCAGCCATCTATCCTGCTGCCTCTCATCATCGGCCTGATCCTCCTCGGTCTCCTCATTCTGGTGCTTGTGGCCTTCTGTGTCACCCGGAGACGCCCGTCCGCCTACCAGGCCCTCTGAACCCCAGCCCCCAAAGGCCCTCAGTCCTGGGGGCACCACTGGTCACGTTACCTCCCCCGACAGCTGACTCAAGGACACGAGTTCTCTTGCTCCCGTGACTCCCAGCAACATCAGTGGACTGACTGTGTGCATGTGGGTGGGACGAGAGTTCAACGGCACCCAGCACCCCACCCCCCCGAAGGGCAGTAAAACCTACTCTGGTCCTCGGGCTCCCCTGTCCTGACAGGATTAAAAGCAGTGAGTCTGTTGTCACATGCCTCCCTGGGCTGAGTCACAGCCGTGTGCAGCAGTTACGAAGGATGAGGCGTGCGCAGTCGAAGCGGACTGTGCCAGGGTTCCCCCTTTGCCCCTCTCCTGGGGCCCATTCAGTTCCCTGTCCTCGCCATGCAGCTCCCTGAGCACCCCCGGGACAGCTGGGGGCCCCAGCACGAGGGCGAGCCATGGAGTTTCACTTCCCTAGACTCCTGAGCACCCGCAATGGCCTGCCCTGTGCACGGGCTGACCCCAGGGCTCCAGGAAGTCCTTGTGAAACACGCTATGAACGGGCCGCGGCCACTGACCAGGGGGCACCTGCTGCCCAGGCCGACGGAGCCATAACTCAGGCCACCAGGACAGGGCCACGGGGGTTGTGCAGCAGCGCCACTGGCACGGCGCCCTGTCTCCAGAGACAGCAGGAAATCCTAGCAGAGGGGCTTCCGGCTGACCCCCAATGGGGGCACGGGTGGGTGTCCCCCGCGGGACCCTGCGGCGTGCTGGGGTGAGGCCCTCGGCCGCGTGGGCGCCCCAGGGGCCGACTCGGCCTCGGTCAACACGTGGTGCGGGGCGGCCCGGCCCCTTCCCTCCCCGCCTCGTCCCGTCCTGCAAGGCCCGGGGACACAGGCAGCGGGAGCACGGCGTCCGCGCACGCCCGTGCCGGGCCTCAGGGCGTCGTTCCCTCCAGACACGCCAGGAGCACGGAGACTACAGAATGACGGCAGCCCCGCCCAACGCCATGTTGGGGATTCACGAGCCTTCTTTCTCCACGTAGAACAATACGCGTGTAAAGTTGGCCACGAGCAGACAAGATGGCGTCTGGCGGGAGGAGGGATAAATCTCGCTTCCCAAATGGAAGCGTAAACAAAAGCGCGAGAGAGCTAACTGCGCAAGCGCAGAGCTCTGACACGCTTTAAAATTCCACGAGCGGGGCGCGTCCAAACAAGGTCTCTGAGCGAGATCTATTTCACGCCACTAGAGCGAGGGTAGCGTAGAAGCGGCGAAAGTTGGTGGGGTGGAGCGGGGCGGCTTAAGTTGTCGCGAGATGACAGGCAGCTTGCTCGGGCGCGCATGCGCAGTGCCAATCGATGGCGGCCTGAAGAGACTGGCGGAAGTTACCTTTGCAACATGGCGCCGGAGATAGACGTTCTGCTCAAACGGGTGCTGGTGCCGCTCCTTTTACCTGAGAAATGCTACGACCGCCTTTTCGTCCAATGGGACTTGCTTCATGGTGAGTTTTAATCAGCGAAGTCCTGCTCGAGCGACCGCTAGCCAATAGTGGCAGCGACTTAAAGTGGCAGCGGCGGCGGCGAGCGGAAGACGCGTCCTGAGAGGGCGGAAGTGGCGCCGGGAGGGGAGTCGGCCGCCTGGGGGTGGGACGCGTGAGCGGTCTGCAGAGCCGAAAGGCTGCGATTTACAGAACAATGATGGGATCGACACCTGCGGCCGGTCTAAGTGCCGGTGACGCGTGGACGGAGGCCTCTAAGAACGCGGGCTCTCCCGGAGGCTCCCTCAGCCTCCACGTCTGTCCTTGCCCTTCGGACGCGAGCCCCGTGCTTCATGCCGCCTCCCTCTGCGCCCACGGGCCCTGCCAGGCTGCGCCGCAGTGGGCGGTGGGGGGCAAGCCTTCAAGGCTGCCGAGCAAGCCCGAGGCTCAGTGCTGTGCAGCGGGTTATGCGCTGTGTGGGGCGTCGCCAGCTTTGAGGCCTCCGCCTTTCCCCTTCCAGTCCATCTTCCTGCTGAGGCGCAGCCTGGGAGGCAGCAGGTGGTGGCCAAGTTCTTGGGCGCCTGCCAGCTACGCTAGCCACCCGGATTTCGAGTTCCGGGCTTCTGCTTTCAGCCCAGTCCAGCCAGCCCTGGCCCTTGCTACCATTTGGCAATCGGGACCAGTGGGTGAAAGATCCATCTCTCTTTCCCTCCCTGACTTTCAGTCTTTCCCTCCCTGACTTTCAGATCTTGTAAATCTAGAAAGAAAAAAGAAGGCAAACCAAATAAGTGTGAGAGTCAGCCTTTGAGCCAGGGATCAGGGACACGGCCATGGAGCGTTCCCGCGCTTGATAACGGGAAAAGAGCAGGAAGCCTTACAGGTGTCAGGAATGTAGAGGCTTCTCTGAGGGAACCACAGAGGCCCCTCTTTCACTTTTCACTCCTCAGTGCCCACATCAGCCAGCCAGGAGCCCGGGCACCCAGTGCCAGCATCCCCCGCAGGCGGGACTAGCGGAGCCGGCAGCTGCTGCCAGCCCGAGCAGAGGCAGGACTTGAAGTCAGGCCTCCTTCCCTGCTTACCTCTTTTTCTCTTAGTGCCCTGCCTCAAGATTCTCCTCAGCAAGGGGCTGGGGCTGGGCATCGTGGCCGGCTCGCTGCTGGGTACGTACCCGAGGACCCTCCCTTCCCGTTGTGGGCTGAGGGCTGGACGGGGCTCCCCTAACCGGAAGCGGCTGGCATGCCTCCAGTCCTTGTGTAGCTGTGTTGTGCTGCTCTCCCCACAGTGAAGCTGCCCCAGGTATTTAAACTCCTGCGAGCCAAGAGTGCGGAAGGGCTGAGTCTCCAGTCGGTGGTGCTGGACCTGGTGGCGCTGACCGGGACCGTGGTCTACAGCATCACCCACAACTTCCCCTTCAGGTGAGGGGCCCACCCTTCGGCCCCCTCCCCTCCACCATGGGCAGAGTCAGCGGGGCCCCTGGAGGGAGATGGTAAAGAGAGAATGACCTCCCCACGTGGACAGGCAATGGAGGCTTTGCCTGCCTCTTTCCAGGCCTGCCTTTTTCCCTCCAAACTCTTGACCCCACAGCTCTTGGGGCGAAGCCCTGTTCCTGATGCTCCAGACGCTCGCCATCTGCTACCTGGTCATGCACTACCGAGGACAGAGCGCCAGAGGTGCTAGGGGCTCGGCCAGGGGTGGGCCTCCACCGTGGGTGGGTGCTGAGAGGTGCTGAGGCCCTGCCCGTCTCCCTACACCCTAGGCGCGGCTTTCCTTGCCTGCTACGCCCTCCTCCTGCTGGGGCTGCTGTCACCGCTCACCCCCTCGGCTGTCGTCACTCTGCTGCAGGCCTCCAACATGCCTGCTGTGGTGGCAGGCAAGGTGGGTCCCGGGACCAGGGGTGCCCTGCCTGTGTGGGAGCACCAGACTGTGGGGATGAGGAAATCGAGGCGAAGATACCAAAGGTCTCATGTCCTCCTCTAGCTGCTCCAGGCGGCCACCAACTACCGCAATGGGCACACAGGCCAGCTCTCGGCCATCACTGTCTTCCTGCTCTTTGGGGGCTCGCTCACCCGAATCTTCACCTCCATTCAGGTGAACACACCCCTTCCCCACCTCCAGAGGGCGCTCTCTCCCCACCGAGGGCCAATGTGCCTCCCTCTGAGTAGTGTTTTGGGGTGCTGACTGACGCTAGTTGCCTCTCACAACCAGGAAACCGGAGACTACCTCATGGCTGGCATCTTTGTGGTCTCCTCCCTCTGCAACGGCCTCATCGCTGCCCAGGTCCTCCTCTACTGGAACGCCAAAATCCCCCACGAAGAGCCAAAGAAGGAGCAGTAGGCCCACTGGCGCCCACTGGCAGCCACTGGGGTGCTGCATGCCCCTGCGCCCTGAGCCAGGCTGTGGAATTTGCTCTCCATCCCCCTGCAATTGGGGACTTCTGAGCCAGATCCTTAGTCAGGACCGGGACCTTGTGGCGATGTGCCTGGATTTGCCCCTTAGAGCAGCAATCCCCACCCCTTGCTCTCCTGGGTGGTGGGCCTGAGGAGGTGCTGGTGGCCTGAACCCCAGTGCATGTGGAGGAAAAAGGGCAGGATGACTCAGGCAGGACCCGGGGTGGAGGTTTCTGCCCTGGCAGGTCCAGGAGGGAGGCGGGAAGGATGGAGGATGGGACATTAAAGACTCCAAGGCAGCTGACTGGTTGGCTGGTACAAAACTGCTTTATAGAAACAGGTGTGCGTGGGGGGGTGGGTCCTACTGTTAGATCCACATCCATGTGGGTCAGAGGTGGGTGAGGGGCAGGGGAGCGCCGGGCTGCGGGGAGCTGTAGGGAGCATGGGTGCCAGGGGATGGGTAGGGGTTGTAGGAGGGCAGCAGTTCGGCCGGCTGGAGCCTTGGGTCACTCTGAGGGACGGAGCAGGGCAGGGGCGCCTTGGCTTTGTAGTGGGAGGAGCTGCAGAGAGAAGGGAGTGGGGGGTTACAGGTTGCTTCCTGCTGGGAACCCCAGGACGGGCAGGCAGGGGTACAGTCTGTCCCCCACCCAGCCCGCTGGGTGCAGCGGGTGGAACCAGCCCCACAGATGGCACGCAGAGCAGCCCAGCCCTGCCCTGTCCAGGCACGCTCCAGCTCCGACTTGCATGCATGCTGGGCGCTGTTCCATTTTGGGGCAGCAGGCCAGGAAGGGGCACGATGGGCTTGGCCGCTGCTTGCACTAGGCGGGAAGAGGGGCAGTGAGAGGAAGCTGGGTCACACTGGGGCCAGAAGCAGGACATGGCGGGAGATGCCAGGAACCAGCCTGCAGGGTCTGTGCACCGCACCTGTAGGGCGGCTACCTGGCTGAGACTGGAATGCCCCCATGGAGAAGGATGAACCACCGGGACCCACCACCCTGCCTGCCCAGCTCCCTGAGGGTACAGGAGAGGGCAGCTGCCCAGTGGCCTCTGCTGGGGCGGGTTCAGGGTCTCCCTCCCTCTCCCAGGTTCGGAGCCAGACACCAGCTTCCTCTCCTCGGCACTCACCTGTAGTGGCTCGGCAGGTAGGCTGAGTAGTTGGGGGGCTGGTACCCAAAACCCCTGTTCACTGGGGTGGTCACAAAACTTGGTTCCCAGGGCTGGCCGCCGTTTCCTTGGCTGGCGTTCGCTGACCCAGCGCCCGTGTTCTTGGTCTTGCGCCGAGGTCGGTACTTGTAGTCGGGGTAGTCGCGCAGGTGCCGGGCGCGGAGCCGCTTGGCCTCCTCCACGAAGGGCCGCTTCTCGTCCTCGCCCAGCAGCTTCCACTGCGCGCCCAGGTGCTTGGAGATCTCCGAGTTGTGCATCTTGGGGTTCTGCTGCGCCATCTGGCGGCGCTGAGCGGAGCTCCACACCATGAAGGCGTTCATGGGCCGCTTCACCTTTTCCTGGGGAGGCCCAGCAGAGACCGGGGCGCCGGGGCTGCCAGCGCCCTCCGGCTCCTGGAGTCCCGTGGCTGCTAGGGGAGCGGGAGGCTCCAGGCTCCAGGCCTGGGTATGAGAGGATCCAGGTAGTGCCATGAGGAGGCAGAAAGGCGTCCTAAAGGAGGTCCCCTCCAGGTGAGCTGTGGGCCCTTATATGTGTCCTCCCCAAACTGAGTCGTAGACAAGGAAGGTCGGGTCCTTGGAAGGCGCAGGCCACCTGCAGTTCGGAGTTTTTGAAATGGAGTCTTTGCTCCCAGCCAATCCGGCACGCCTTGCAGAGTCGGAAGCAGGACCTGCTGGCCAGTATCCCTGCACTGGAGAGGTGGTCTTGCCTGTTTTATCAAAGTTCCCCGGCCCCCGGCCCCCGTCCCTGCTGCTGTGACCCGACTGACAAACCTTCTGGGGAGGTGAGAAGCGCTGCTCCGTGGGTCCCCAGCGTCCCTGCCGCTGCCAAGGCGCCCTGGTGCCGCAGGCCTCTCGCACCTGGGCTGGATCTGAGGCTGGCGGGCCAGACGCGGTAACAGCTTTAAACACTGACTCCTCCCTAGCCCCTCCCAGAGCGTGGCCTCCAACACCCCTTTCTCCCGAAGGCCAAGCTGGTGTCCTGTTCTTCCCAGCCGCTAACACTTCCCGCAGGCCACCACACCCCCTCCCCACCCAAGGCCGAGCTATCTGAGCTGTCGGGCCTAGCAGTCCTTGCTGATTGTGGGCCCTCCCTTCTTAAACTCCAGCAATCTCAGCCTCACCTGATTCTCTTCCATGGTGGGATCAAGCACAGGCTGATCCAATACCCTGAGGGTCAGGATTGTGCTAAACCCAATTTGGAAGCAATCCATCCCCACCCTAACCCTTTTTCTGGTGGCAGTGGTTCCTTAATTTAACCCAGCCTGACCTACCCCTGGGGCCAGGAAGGCCAGCAGGGAGGCAGGCCATTTTTGTCTCCTGAGTCATCCCAGCAGGTGCTTGGGGGTAGAGGAGTCAACCTTCTCCAGATGAGAAAACTTAAGCCCTGCTCCAGCTTGCAACCCCCAAACCCAACTTGCCCAAGCCTACAGGTTCTGAAGGTAAAATCAGCATCAGTGTGGCAGACAAGCTAGGACACCCAAGACAACATCCAAGAGGCGAGAGGCTGTGAGGATGCTGGAGCCGCGGATAACCCATCCAGGAGGCCTGGCCACCTGGCTTGCAGTCCTACGGCTGCCGTGGGGGAACTCTGCTCCCCCATTCTACCCAAGCCCAGCCCAAGCCCCAGGGCCTCAGGTAATCCGATTAAACATCCTCCTTGGCTCTCAGCTCCCAGTGGCCCTGCCTAGCCCCTGCGGTGACTCAGGGTGTGGGAGGGGCTCAGCTCCCTCAAGCAGCCAGGGCAGGCCACCTTCCTGTAGACCTGGAGGGTACCTGAGCTCAAAGACAGCACTGGCAGGAACTCCCAGCAAAGCCCACCCTCGGCTCCGGAGAGGAGCAGCAAGTGCAAAGGCACAGGAGAGCACCCAGGGCCGTGCGGAGCAACATGGAGCAGCAGAATAACCAGGGGCCAGGAAAGGACAGGACTACAAAGCCATTTGGATTTTTTTATTCTCTTTTTAAATACTGTACAGTGAAAAATAAATACGCCTTCTCATCCACCAGACAAGGCTGGTCCCCCTCCCCTTGGGGGGTCCTTGTCACCCCCTTCATACACCCCTGGTTCTACTCCAAAACCTCCCCCATGCCTCCCACCCACTTACACCCTTACTATCCCCGTCTTCCACAGTGATGAGGCCCCAGAAATGGGGGTACAGGATGGGAGGAGGGATAGCAGGGGAGCCCCCCTGAACTGTCACATCTGGGTGGGTCAAGGAGCACCCCACCAATAGGTGGAGAACAGGGGTGTTCAGAGAAAGATTGGGGCATTAGAGGATAAAGGCACATCCAGTCTGATGGGGAAGGAGAGAGGCTCCCCTCACCCTGGGGTAGGGTAGACAAGAGGGAGGGGGGTATGACCCTGTTACGCACCCCTCCACTAGCTCCTGGAGGTTGAGGGGGACCCAAGCTGCTGTGCCACCCCCCTCCCCCCAGCTAAGAGCAGCTCCAGCGCAGGTCGGTTGGGCCTGTGAGGGCCATGGTGTTGGGCAGCAAGCGAGATGGAGGAGGGATGTATGTGGGCTGGAGGGTTTATGAAACCCCATTCACCAAACTACCCAACTCCAGGGGGGCAGAGAGCTCCCCGTTCTCCGAGGGGCCCTTAGGAAGCCTGCTGACAGAATCACCCTGAGGAAGAAGGGGAAAAAAATGGAGAAGCAAGCAAGCGGTCAGTAGAAATTGTGCCACAGGCCTAAGCCCCACCTGCACCAGGCAACTCCCAGCTAGCTCCCCGATTGCATACTCTGGTCACACTGAGCGAGGACCCTAGTAGTGAGACGGCTTGGACTCTGGGAGACCCAAAGCCAAGCTCAGAAGACACAGAACATAACTTCTCGGATTCACTAACATTTCTTTGGGCCTTTTGCTTATCTCTTGTCCCAGGAAAACCAAAAGGCCTGGAGTCCATGACCCTGTGCCTACCTTCTGTCCTGAAAGAGAGTCCTCGGAGGGTTTCGTGCGTTCCAGGGGAGGCCGCTGGCGGCTCTGAGACTCTGCCCGCGAGATGTAGTCAGCCACGGTCACTGGCGGGGGGGGAGGAGGTTATGGTTCAAAAGTATCTCAGAAATGAGGCTCAAGCCGCCTGAGCCCCAGGCCCGGGTTTCCCTCAGGTACCCCTTGCAGCAGCTGACCTGGCTGCCGGTCTCCGCTGACAGAGCCATCAGTCCGGTTCCCACGGTTGCGGCGGCGACGACTGCGATTACGACGCTGGGGTCTTGATTCCTCTTCTGAGGGGTATAGACAAGTGAGAGGTGCACCCCAACCTCTCCCACCCTCAGTTCTCACCCAGCACTTTTTTCCTGAATTCCGGGGCACAGCCCTCACCCAGGCCATTCTCTGTCATGGTAGGCCCATCAGACTCCAGGCCTCCGTCCATAACAGTCCTGTCTTCATCTGTGCGGCGGCGGCGGGAGCGGCGGCGCCTGGCACTTGCTGGGGGAGGCTCCCCTGGCTCTGAATCAACGGGGGGCTCTGGTTCAGATGTATCCAGCAGGCTGTAGGGGTTACTATCTGGATCCTTCAGCACTAGGCAGAGAGGAGAGCAGTTGGTGTGGGGCAGGCATCTTGCCCTCCAGCCCACACTCCAGAACCCGGCTGTCTGCTACCTGAGCTGATAGAAGAGGAGCTGTATCTTGAAGCGGGCCGGGGGGCAGGAGGAGGTCCCCTGCCCCGGCCTCCAATGGGCCGCCTCCGGCTTTCCTCCCCCCGCGTTGGAGGGTCCCGGTCACCAGGCCCAGCTCGGCTGGGTTCCTCTCTCTTCTCTGACTCAGTCTCTGAAGCTGTGGATGGGTCTGAGCTGGGGCCTGCAGGACACAGATGGATTCAGAACTGCTCACCATCGCCCATCTCCACCCCAAGCTGCCACCAGAGGTCCTGCTGCCACAGCACTCACCATAGGCAGGACCGCCTGTCCTCCGGCCCCGACCCCGGCCCCCGTAGCTGCCCCCATAGGTCCGAGTCGTGTGCAGGGAGGAGGAGCTCTCATCAGTGGTGTAGCCCGCCTTGTCACTGCTCCCGCTGCCGCGCCCACCGCCAGGAGGACGGAAGCCCAGTCCAATCTGCCGAAGCTGTTCGTCAATCTGCAGCCTCTCTAAGCGAAGCTGCTCCACCTCCTGTTGGGGCAGAAGATGGATGCAGACAGAGGGATGTGACGGCAGGAAGGGAATCCTATCCTAATTCTTGGTAATGCAGCAGAAGATGCTGGCTGAACAAGGAGAATTCCAGGACCCACCTTCACAGACCTAAGTTCCACCACAGACTCAGAGTCGGCAGAGACAAACCAGACCCCACAACTGCTGACTGGAACTAGCTGCAGCCTCAGCCCCTGGCTCGGCCCAGCCCTCTCTTTCCCAGGCTCCAGCCATGTGTACCTGCAGATAGGAGAGGTGATACTCCAGCAGAGCCTGCGCATTGCTGATGTTCTCCCGAGTGCCAACAAATATGAAGGGCACCATTCCCTGGCAGCAGGAAGAAAGGAAAGTCAGGTTAGAAAGAATAGTGCAACACACAGATGACCCCCTCCACGGCCAGGGAGGCTTAGGCCTGGCTCTAAGGTTACCAGAGGGGCTACAAAAGTGTCCATGCATGTGCCCTGTGAAGAGAACAACCCTCACCCCCACTTCTGGAAGCCCACCTCCAGCCCCAGCTGGCCCATACCTCCTCCCTGGGGTTCTTCTTGTCATTGTCACCTTCCACTCGCACCCTCACCACACCAGACTTATCCACAATCTCCTGGATCACTTTGCCATTCTTTCCGATCACTTTGCCTGAAGGGGCAAAGGAGGAATTAAGGCCTTTTAATTTTTAAGGAAAGAAAAAGAATAAAAACAGAATTGCAACAATCTCATCCTTTTCTCTCTCAGATTTCATTTAATTAATTCTCAGAAGTTTAACTTGGGTTTTTACAGAACAAAATGTTAAGATTTCCCCCAGTTGACACCTGACCCAGTGACAAGTTGCTGCTTGGGACGGCCATAACCCCTGTCCAAGTCCAAGCTACTCAGCTTCCAATCCAGCTTCTAATGCACACACTGGGAGGCAGCAAATCACGGCTCACGCACTTGGGTCCCTGCCTGCCACCCATAATACCCCATATAGAGTGCTGGCTCTGTGACTCAGCAATGGCTGTTGTGGGTATGCTGGGAGTACACTAATGGAGGGAAGATCTAGCTATCTGCCTTTCAAATAAAAAGAAAAATAACAACTATCAATTTTCAGTCCTTATGCAGTCAGGGTCCATGGGGAGGTACAGACACCCGTGAACAGCCCAGAATCACAGAGGCTCCCAGCTGGCCTCACTCTATTCTCTTGTACACACTACCCCCACCCCCCCCAACTCACCAACCAGGTTCCTGGGCACTTGCACTGAGTCCTCAGAAAACTCCAGGTAGCTCCGAGCCTGTCGGCATGCCTCCGGCGTCTAGGGCAAGAATGAGGCGGTCAATAAGACAGGATCTGTTTCACAAATAATGATCATCCTGTCTTCAGAGAAACACACTGCCCTAAGTCCAGGAAGGAGGTCCCAGAACCCAGGCTTATTTTTCATTCCCTCCCTTTCCCCACAACGTGACCTGA